ATCTGAGGGCATTGGCTGGGGTGAGTGAGGAGGATGGGAGCCAAGGATGACAACCGTGTATGTTTCTCCAGGTTTGCCCCCTTATGTACAAAGCCATCCCTAACCCAAATGACAGGGCACATCCCCCCCCCTAACTCCCTCAAGACAGGGTTTCTCTGTGTAGCCCTGGCTGTCCTGAAACTCACTCTGTAGACCAGGCTGACCTGGAATTCACAGAGATCCACCTGCCTCTGGAGTTCTGGGATCAAAGGCATGTGCCTCCACCATCCATCCAGCTAAAGATTTATTTGTGTATTTTATGTATATGAGTGCTTTGTCTTCACGCTCATCAGAAGAGGGAATCAGATCCCATTATAGATGGCTGTGAGCCACCGTGTGGTTGCTGGGTAATTGAACTCAGACCTCTGGAAGAGCAGTCAGTAACTTTCTTATGTTGTAATATTGGGAAAATCTGAGCCAGGCCCAATGGCAAATGCCTGTAATCCTATCACCCAGAAGACGATAGTACATTTGAGTCTAGCCTGGGGCTGCATGGTGAGACCCTATCTCATTATGTAGATATGGTAAACCAAGGCTCTGTTTCCTGTTTCCTGATTTGTAAAATGGAGATAATAGTCCCTGGTGTGCCTGAAATCCTAGCACTTGGAAGGTGGAGGCAGGAGAATCATTTGAGCTCAAGAGTTTGAGACAAATTTGGGAAATGTAGAGAGATCCCCATCTAAAATAATAAAATAATACCCGTATCTTTGAAAGTCACCACTGTTTTGTCCTGTTGCTTTTCCACTCTCAACCCTAGACAGCTACTAGTCTGCCTTGTGGCCCCTGTAAATGGATCACAGCTTAAGCAGCCTTTGGTGTCTGTCTTCTTTCATTCAGTGTGTGGTGGTTTGAATGAGGATGGCTCCCAAAGTCATATTTGAATGTTTAGTCACCGAGAAGTGGAGCTGTTTGAAAGGATTAGAAGGATTAGGAGGTGTGGCCTTGCTGGAGGAAGTGTGTCACTGGGAGTGGGCTTTGAGGTTTCAAAAGCTCATGCCAGGCTCAGTCTCTCTGTTCCTGCAGATCAGGATGTAGGTCTCAGCTTCTTCTCCAGCACCACCTCTGTCATGCCTGCTGCCTCGCTCTCCCCCATGATGCTAATAGTAAGCCAGTCCCACAATTAAATGCTTTCTTTTATAAGAGTAGCTTTAGTTGTTGGGTGGTGGTAGCAGTGGTGCACACCTTTAATCCCAGTTCTCAGAGGCAGAGACAGTTGGATCTCTGAGTTCTAGGCCAGCCTGGTCTACAGAACTAGTTTCAGGACAGGCAGGGCTTTGTGGAGAATCCCTGTCAAAACAAAACAAAAACAAACAAACAAAAAGTCGCCTTCATCAAGGTGTCTCTACACAACAATAGAACACTGAGACACTGTGTTTTCAAGGTTTGCCCATATAGCTCCATGCACCAAATTTGGTGCCCTATCACCAAAGAAAGTTCCCTGTGTGGGTGTGCCACATTTTGCTTATCTCTTCATCAATAGATACTTGGGTTGTTTCCATATTTTGGCTATTATGAATATTGTTGCTATGAATATTCATGTCCAGGATTTTGTGTAGACTTGTTCTGTTTTCCTTGGGTATAGACTATACAGAAAGACCGAGTCAAATGGAATCTTTCTACCTAACCCTTTGAAGAAATATCAGGCTATATTTTATTCTTACTATTAGAATTTGAAGTCCTGACTTCTTCCTGCCTCCTGCCTCCCATCTATTTTTTTTTTTTTTTTTAGTACAAGGTTCCGTGTATCCAAGGGCAGTCTCCAACTCACCATATGGCTGAAGATGACTGTGATTATTTGTATATGCTTGGCCCAGAGAGTGGCACAGTTGGGAGGTGTGGCCTTGTTGGAGTAGGTGTAGCCTTGTGGGTGTGGGCCTTAATACCCTTGTCCTAGCTGCCTGGGAGTCAGTATTCTGCTAGCAGCCTTCAGATGAAGATATAGAACTCTCAGCTCCTTCTGTACCATGCCTGTCCCAATGCTGCCATGTTCCCGCCTTGATGATAATGGACTGAACTTCTGAACCTGTAAGCCAGCCCCAATTAAATGTCGTCCTTATAAGAGTTGCCTTGGTCACGGTGTCTGTTCACAGCAGAAAAAAACCTACCAAAGACAATGATTATACATTTCTGATCCTTCTACCTTATTTCCCAAGGGCTGGGATCACAGGTATGTACCACCATGCCATTTTATATGGTGCCAAGGATCAAACCCAGGGCTTCATGCATGTTAGGCAAGCACTCTACCAACTGAGCTACACTCTGGCTCTCGCTGTGTGTTGGCACTAGCCATCTCTTCTCTCCTACACATCTCCAGGAGTGAGGAATCGTATCTAATTGTAGTTTTGAGTCAGATTTTCCAGTGACATCATTTTATGTGCTCATTGGCCCTTTCTCTGTCTTATTTGGAGGAAAGGTTATTCAGACTTGGTGCCCACTCTTTTAAAATGTATTACTATTATTTATTATTATTGGAGGTGGTGGTGTGTGTGCCTGTGATATGCGTACAGGCACATGGATAGCCCCGCACATGAGTGGAGGTAAGAGAACAATTTTGTGAAGTGGGAGTTGATTCTCTCCTTCCACATTTACGTGGGATTCTGGGATCACACTCGAGTCATCAAGCTTACATCACAGGCACTTACCTCTGCGCTTCTTGGCAGCCCTAAGTTTTTAAAGGATTTATTTTATCTATACAAGTGTTTTGCATGTATGTATGAATATATATATGTATGTATGTATGAATATATGTATTATGTATGTATGTATGAAGTGTGTATTGCATACATATACATATACATATACATATACATATACATATACATGCACCATGTGCATACCTGGTGCCCATGGAGGTCAGAAGAGAGCATCGGGTCTCTTGGAACTGGTGTAATAGATGGTTGTGAGTCACCGTGTGGGGGCTGGGAACAGAATGAGTATTGTTTTTATATACATTATGCATACACATAATAAACAAGATATAAAGTAAGTAGGGCCGGAGAGCTGGCTCGGTGGTTCAGAGCACCTGATGCTCTCACACAGGACCTGTACTCAGTTTCCAGCACCACATAGTGGCTTGTAGCTGTCTGTAACTCCAGTTCCAGGAAATCTGATGCTATCTTCTGACCTCCTTGGACACAAGGCACACAGAAGGTGCACAGACATACATTCAGACAAAACACTCACATGCATAAAATAAACAGATCTTTATAAAAATAAATAAGTAAATAAAATATTGGGAAGCTTTTTTTTAACCTTTTGTTGATTCTTTGCATGTTTCACAACACACACCTCAATCCCACTCATCTTCCCGTCCCCTCGTATCTGTCCTCTGCCCTTGCAGCCTTCCCACCTCAAAACACACATGCAAACAAACAACAAACACAGCAAGGACAGTATCTCATTATGGAAGCTGCAGTGTGTCACAGTGTGTCCCACGGCATTTCCCTCTGTCCACACATCTTGCAAAGGTTCATTGCAATGAGTCATTGGTCTGGTTCGAGATATCTGGCTCCTGTGACATCAATATTGACCTCCTCCCTGTTATCCAGCTGCTGCCTTGCGTATGGAGATCCTGTAGCTTTGGAACAGCAGGACTGGTCCCTTCATGCATCCCAACCATTAGCAGATGCTATCGATTTTGAGGTGGGCCAATTTAGAGCCCTGTATCTGGCCCTGGGTGGTAGCTGAGCTGGCCAGCTCTCCCTTATCCATACCACCGGGGCAAGCTCTCCAGCACGCTCTGGCTAGGCCACCCAATGGCCACTGACAGGAGGCAGGGTTAGCCCTCCTCTCTCATGCCCTCAGATGGGCTTACTCACACCCATGCCTCCAGAGCCAGCTCCACTGTGCTGCCCAGTCAAGGTGTGGGCCCCACTCTCACACCTTGGGGCTGGCTCACCTGTGCCTTCACCATCAGGGCCAGCTCCACTGTCCAGATGTCGAGGGTTAAGGGAGAGAAGGCATCACCCCTGCACCCATGCCCCTCATGGCAGACTAGGGGAGGGGCAGCTCTCCCACACTCTTGCCCTTGGGGCTGGTTCGCTTGCACCCCCACTACCAGAGTGGACTTCGGTTTGCTGTCCAGGGGAGATTCAGGGCCCGCTTTCCTGAGTGCTAAAGCTGGTGAGGGGGAAGGATAGCTCTCCTGAGCTCATGACCTTTTGAATAGCTTTCTCAACTGGCAGAGGCGGTGAGGGGTGTTAGGGGCATCATTTTTGCACCCATGCCACCTCATGGCAGACAAGTGGCAGGGCCAGCTCTCTCACACTCATGTCCTTGGGGTGGCTCTCCCCTGACCCTTAACCTCACAGCCTTCCTTCACTCCCACCCCTCACCCTTGCTACCTGGGCCAACACCTTTGTGCTGCCTGGATGAGGTGTAGGGTAGGGCTCATTCTCCCATGTGCTGCCAGCGATGAGAGATGGGGTCAACTCTTCAGAATACAGCATCCAGTGAGGGATGGGGTGAGTTCTGCACAGCCTGCGAACACCCAAGTGGTCCCTGGTGGCTTCCCTGACCAGGGACATCCCCCATGCTCTCTAGCGGTAATATGAGCCACAGACATTGACACCAACCCCTGCTACCGAGACTCAGACATGGCCCTCAGCAACAGCTCGACCGCACCATGGCCCCAGGTAGCAGGGCTGACCACTCACAACAGGCTCCTCCTCTCGGGAGTCTCCAATTTCATCTCTCTTCATAATGTTCAAGCTGCTCCACCTCTCTTTCTCTCCCCTCTGCCACCACAGACTCACACACCGTGGTGGCTCTGTCTGCAGGCTGGCCACACAGCTGGCGGGCCCCTGGGTGACATCCTCCATCTACACCACAGGACACATCAGCCAGCAGGTTTCTATAACCTGCCTGTGTCTCGCACTGGAGGGCAGGTCTGGAGTGGCATGGTGGTCCACAGGTCTCTGTCTGTCTTCCTCTTACTGTGCTGCCTGGATTTGATTTGATTTTTATGAGTCTTACGCATAAAACAGCTTTGTCCACCAAGCCAGGCATCAGGCTAGGATGAACACAGGACTGCCATCTGCTCTGCCCCTAACTGATATGAGAATGCCAACACCAACAAGGAGTGTCTCTGCCCATTGCCAGGGGGCACCAGTATTCTTAACTACAGTGCCATTTCTCTAGGTCCCAGGCTGAGTGATTTTTAAATTAGGCTGTTTGTGTTTTTATTATTGAATTGCTTTTTTTAAAAAAAAAATATATTCTACCCACAAATCTCTATAAGATTCATGAAATAAAATAATCTTTAATTTTTTTATTTAAAAATATTTGATTTGTGCATTGGTATTTTGCCTGCATGTACGTCTGTGTGAAAGTGTCAGATCTTTGAGTCACAGACAGTTGTGAGCTGCCATGTGGGTGCTGGGAATTGCATCCAGCTCCTCTGGAAGAGCAACCAGTGTTTTTAACCCCTGAGCCATCTCTTTAGACCCTGGAATGAATATTCTTTTCTTTTATTTTTTCAAGACAGGCTTTCTCTGTATAGCCCTGGCTGTCCTGGAACTCACTCTGTAGACCAGGCCGGCCTCGAACTCAGAAATCCGCCTGCCTCTGCCTCCCAAATGCTGGGATATTTTTAATTTTTATTTATTTATTTGTTTGTTTATTTATTTATTTAGAGACAAGGTCTCACCATGTAGTCTTGACTAGCCTGGAACTCACATAAATCTTCATGCCTCTGTTTCCCCAACGTTGGAAAAAAGTATGGGCCACTACACCACCTGGACCATATATATGTATGTGTGTCTGTCTCTGTGTATGTGTGTGTGTGTCTGTGTGTGTCTATGTGTGTGTGTCTGTGTGAGTGTGTGTGTCTGTGTGTGTGTCTGTGTGTATGTGTGTGTGTGTCTGTGTCTGTGTGAGTGTGTGTGTGTCTGTGTGTCTCTATGTGTGTGT